TGCTTTCGGCCGAGGAAGGCGAAGCTTTGGCGGCGTTCGAGGGGTGCCTCGTGAGCAACGGTGTAAGCGTAGGCATAAGAGGCGGCATTTCTCAACCCAAAGGGGTATGGGGACGGTGCCATCTCCAGATTCTGCTCCGCCGGGGCCGGCTCTTCAGGGAGTGATGGAGCGGAGCTGGACAACTGGGCATTGCCCCGTGCCATAGGCAAGTCTCCTTTGTCCAAGCTCAGGCTAGACAGGTCCCCAGCCAGGGACCCTATGCCAACAGCTGGTCGTAGGATATCGGCGGGGGGTGGCGTGTTGCCCCGGATTCGCGTAGCATCGGGGTGGCCTTGTTCGTGCCGTGCTTGGCGAGCGCGGCGAGAGTGGCCGCCCGAACGCCGCCCGCGCCTTTGCTGTCGGGGCGTAACTTCATCGTTGGTTGGTGGGGCTCGAGGAGTGAGGAGCACCATGTCGTACTCATGCCCTAGAGACATGAACTCTAGGCTCCCGAACCAAACCACGGTGCCAAGACGCAATGGTCGTACGGGGTCTGCCATCCGGAACCTGCTGGGATGACGAAATCGACACGCAGTGGCCCCTACCTGGCGCGCCAACTGTCGGTGTTTCGGACCGGGGGGTCCTCAACCGACTAGTGAATTTGTTTTGCGTGCTCCCGATTCCGGATGGTGATGCAAAGAGACACATGGTTTATACTGGTTCGGGCAATCGAGGCCCTACGTCCAGTCTGAGAGATCGATCTTGTATTCCTTGCACCGAGGTGCTCGTAGTAGGGGGTTACAAGCTAAAGGAGAGAGGGAGCTGGTCCCAGGTCTCGGTAGGGTGTCGTGCGGGCCGCTTGAGACGTTGCTCTCAGGCGGTAGGGATGTGCGTGTATGTGTGTGTGTGTTCCAAGGTTTTTCCCCCTGCCCTTAAAACAACCCAGGTCCTCTCCTTTTATAGCATGAAGGGAGGACTAGGGCGGTACATGAGCTAACTATACGGCGTCATGTGAACAGAGGCGGCGTGTCCGGGCCCTGTAGCCTGTTCCTGTGGCGGTGTGGCCGGCGGAGTGGTCCGTACTTGGAGCACTGGGGCGACGTGGCCGTCCTATCAGATCCTGTGCGTCGTGGGAGCCCCGGGACGTGCAAGCCACTGTGGACAGACTGCGCGCGAGGCTGAGACTAGGTCGGTGTCGAGGCTGCACCATGGTGGAGGGGTCTCGGCAGGCACGATCCCCAAGATGGCCGAGACCTAGGTGTACGGTGCCGAGGCCTCGAGTGGGCGGCTGATCGTGGGTACAGTGTTAGGACACAGTGGCCGGTAATTCCCGCCGTACCCTGTCCCAGCCGGTATGGGGCAGATCGTGGATACAGCGTTAGGACACAGTGGCCGGTAATCCCCACCGTACCCTGTCCAACCGGTATGGCGCTGATGCGACCTTGGGTCGCGTCGGTCATTCTGTGGCGTTGAGCCGTCGTCCGGCTGAGATTGTGGGAGTGGTTAAAGCATTAATGGGACATGACACGTTGTCTGGAGGGTCGGTCGAGGCGGGGGGTGATGGGCTGCGGGCGACCCGGCCTCGAGCGACACGGAGGCTGGGGCCTCGCGCGAGATGGAGATCGGGTTCCTTGCCGAGGCCTTGCGAGACGCCTCGCGCGATACGGAGAATGTACCCCTACCGAGGCCTTCCCTGGAGAGCCTCGGGCGAGACGGAGACGGCGCCCCCTGCTGAGGCTCGGCGCCCCCTGCCGAGGCCTACCCTAGGGAGCCTCGCGCGAGGCGGAGTTTGTTCAGAGACCTCCTGCTCGAGGCTCGAGGCGAGGTGGAGGAGGGCTCGGTAGTGGCAGGTGAGGGGCCCATGGCTTACCTTCTAGCTTTATTTTGATGTTTGCTTAGGGTACCCCAGTTCTAAGGTACCCGACACTCCAGATCTGGCCACCAAGCCGACCCATCGAGGAAGAGGCCATGCGCGCGCAGACGGAGGCGTCGAACACAGGCACCTAGGGTTTCGATGTTTCGTCGAGCCCAGGAGCGCACGCGAACCGGTGGGAGGAAGCCGCGTTGGGGGTGGCAGCCGCGGCAACGGCCACCTGCGGGGGCTCGCTGGCGCCCGTGCGCCGCCGTCCCACCCGCGCCGTTCGCCGGCCGGTGCGCCGCGCCATCATGAGAGAGAGGGGAAGGTGAAAGCAGAGACGGACAAGGGGACCAGCACACCGCCATGTCGGGAGAGAGGGAGAAGAAGGGACGACGGGGGCGGAGGCGGCGGGACCGGGACCGGTGGGGGCAGGGGTCGTGGGAGGCTCGGCCGACGCGCCTCGTGAGAGAGCGAGAGAGGGAGCGGATGGGAGAGTTTTTTTTATGAGTGGGGGGAGAGGTGGGAGATATTTGTTGTACAAGTGATTTGTAGGGGCGGCTGGTCTAGTGGTTCCCGAGCACGTCACTGTAGGGGCGGCTCCATCACTAGCCGTCCCTACAAAAAATTTATCCCGTTGCTACAAACCATTTTTCACGTAGTGATTTTCAAGGGTGTTAGCAATGAGTTAGAGCATCTAGTGGCACTTTGATAACAGCATTTCGATTCGAGTTTTACCCCTCTTAATAGTACGGCTATCGATCCTAAATGTGATCACACTCGCTAAGTGTCTCGATCACTAAACCGAAAAGCTCATATCAATCTCACGTTTGCCTTGAGTTTTTTTCTCTTTCTTCTTTTTCAAGTTCTAGCACTTGATCATCACCATGGCCATCATCATGATCTTCACTGTTGCTTCATCACTTGAAATAGTGCTACATATCTCATGATCACTTAGATGAACTAGGTTAGCATTTAGGATTTTATCAATTCACCAATACCAAACTAGAGCTTTTAGCGCGGCGCCAGCCTGTGGATGGGCTCGGCGCCCCTCTCCCCTCCTCCCTGGTTCGTCGGATCCGAGAGCGGATGAGGCGGCGGTGGCGCGGGCGACGTGGGCGGCACAGGCGGGCTGTGGCGGTGCTTCTCCTTCACCTCTTCGTGAGCTCCAGCGCTAGGAGGCCAGATCCGGCGAACTACGACGGCAGCAGTGCGTTGATGGGCTCGTCGGGCCTATCCATGGATTTTCTCTTTTTTTGTTTTTTATTTGATTAAGAGGCAGACATGGCAACCGTCTCAATTAAGGCCACGTGTCGGGTACCTTAGAACGGGGTACCCCAAGCAAACATCAAAATAAAGCTAGAAGGTAAGCCGTGGGCCCTTCACCTGCCACGACCGAGCCCTCCTCCCCCTCGCCTCGAGCCTCGAGCAGGGGGTCTCAGAACAAACTCCGCCTCGCGCGAGGCTCCCTAGGGGTAGGTCTCGGCAGGGTGCGCCGAGCCTCGGCAGGGGGCACCGTCTCCGTCTCGCCCGAGGCTATCCAGGGAAGGCCTCGACAGGGGTACATTCTCCGTATCGCGCGAGGCGTCTCGCGCAAGGCCTCGGCAAGGAACCTGATCTCCGCCTCGCGCGAGGCCTCATTCTCCGTGTCGCTCGAGGCCGGCTCGTCCGCGGTCCGTCGCCCCCCGCCTCGGCCGACCCTCCCAACAACTCGTCATGTCTCATTAATGCTTCAACCACTCCCGCAATCTCAGCCGGACGGTGGCTCAATGCCACAGGATGGCCGACGCGACCCGAGGTCGCATCAGCGCCATACCGGCCGGGACAGGGTACGACGGGGATTACCGGCCACTGTGTCCTACCACTGTGTCCACGATCAGCACCATACCGGCTGGGACAGGGTACGACGGGGATTACCGACCACTGTGTCCAAACGCTGTACCCATGATCGGCCGCCCGCTCAAGGCCTCGGCACTGTACACCGGGGCCTCGGTGATCTTTGGGGTTCAGGCTCGCCGAGACCCCCCACCATGATGCCGGCCTCGGCATCGACCAAGTCTCGGCCTCGCAAGACATCCGTCAACGATGGCTTGCACGTTCGCCGCCGCGTCCACTCCGAGGCATTCCCGGGGCTCCCACGACACACAGGATCTGATGGGATGACCACGCCGCCCTAGTACTCCAAGGATGGACCACTCCGACGGCCACACCGCCACAGGAACAGGCTACAGGGCCCGGACACGCCGCCTCTGTTCACACGACGCCGTATAGTCAGCTCATGTACCGCCCTAGTCCTCCCTTCATGCTATAAAAGGAGAGGACCTGGGTTGTTTTAAGGGGGGAGGGAGACCTTGTAACACACACGCACACTCCTGCCGCCGGAGAGCAACGTCTCAAGCGGCCCGCATGGCACCCTGCCGAGACCTAGGACCAGATCCTTCTCTCCTTTAGCTTGTAACCCCCTACTACGAGCACCTCGGTGCAAGGAATACAAGATCGATCTCTCAGACTGGAAGTAGGGCCTCGATTGCCTGAACCAGTATAAACCTTGTGTCTCTTTGCATCACCATCCGGATTGGGAGCACGCAGAACAAATTCACTGGTTGGTTGAGGACCCCCCGGTCCGAAACACCGACACCACGATTAACCGTGACCTTTCGATCGAGGCCCCGACCGAGACGGTTCAACCGTCTCGGTTAACCTTTTTGCTCGGTTTAAGATTTGTGTAGTAGTGACTTTTTGATAAACATGTTTGGCCAATACAAATACTTTAAAATATATCGAGGTTAGTACTATTCAAATTTATGTAGACCTATATCCTATAGTCCTAACTCGGTACGGCAAAATTCAAGATGACACACACGAAGAGAGATTCAGAGATGATACTTGTTGATAATTTAAGACCTGCTGAATGAGCACTAGCCACCAGTGATGGAGATAACGGTTATATTTATTCTGTTACACAATCGAGCACACTAGTCTACTCACCCTTAGCCCCTTAGGTCACATATGTACACAGTAACACAGCCGACTAAACCGTGTATATTCCCACGACTACTTGACCTGCTACACGATTTATTTTTGGTATACACGTACAGTACACGAGACACGGCAGACGGTGATGGGGAACCGCTGATCGATCGATGTAGCCCGTAGCCGAATGCGATTACTCTCGCACGTAGCTCGCGATGCGCACGACGTTGCCGTCCATGTCCCGCACGAACCCGGACTTCTGGCCCCAGGGCTTGTCCTCCGGCGCGCTCACGGCCACCGCCCCGTTCTCGACGGCGCGCCTGTACGCCGCGTCGACGTCCTCGTAGTCGAAGCAGACCTCCAGGGAGCCCCGCTCGGCGGCCGACGAGTTCGGCAGCTGCACCTCCCCCGAGCGCGCGTCCGTCTCCCGCTGGCGCAGCGGCGTGAACGCGATGGTCGTCGCCCCGCTCTCCAGCTCCGCCCACCTGCCAAAATTAACCCAAGGCAAGGCGCGCACATCAGGCAGACATGAGCGTCCGTGCATGTGCGTGCATCAGAGGGGATCAGGCTCAGGCACGCGGCACGCGTGTGTTTTTACTTGCGGGACTGGTCGAGGCGGCGGACGGTGTAGCCGAAGGCGGCGTCGTAGAAGGATGCGGCCTTCTCCACGTCCCTCACGTACAGGATGATGTAGGCCAACTTGGGCTTCAGGCCACCGGAGGCCATGGCTCGTTGCTTCTTCCTAGTGCCCCTTTTGCTACTTGAAAATTTGTGGGTGTACTGCGCGCGTGCCGCTTATTAGCAGCTTGGTCTTGGTGCCCTCCGGACGACTTGGACCTTGCCCCTTGACCCCGTCTTTTATCCACGCGGCCGGCCGGTTCCGATCTACGGCGTGCCGCGGGAGGTGGCACACATGCAAGCGGCGAGATGCCCGCTAGCTTCCACGTTGTCACCGCCAGTCGGTGCCTCGGTGGCACAGCACACCGTTAATGGAAGTTCGACGGACCGATTTTTTTTTTTTTAACACTTTTTTAAATTAATTTTAAATCTAACACTTTTTTTTCTTCAAAACTAACACTTTTGGCCGCGTCTATTGCCATGGCGCGGCGAAATGCTTGTGCCGCGCATGCATGGTGGCGCGGCAGGAGACTGACGTGGCGAAGACCGGGGCCGCTGACCGGTGACGTGGCAGGCTCTGCCGCGCCACCGATCTTGGCGCGGTAGTGACGCGCCACGGCTCATGGCGCGGCAGGATCAGATAAATATCGCCCACGAGCCGCCCGCCCTGCCTCCTGCCTGCCGCCCCTGCCCGAAGCGCCGCCACCGCCGCCGTGCCTGCACGCCGACCACCGCGCCTGCCCGCCCGCCCGCCCACACGCACGCCGCGCAGAGCCCCGTCGGCCGCCCGCCCGCGCCGCGCGCGCTCGCCCACTCCGGCCGCGCCACGAACGCCGGCGCGTCATGGCCGCCCGCTCATATCAAGGTAGGCTCTCTCGATTTCATGTTATTATGATTGTTATTTTAGTTAGGGTTAGTGATTTAGGATAGTTAGGTTAGTGAATTTGTTAGGATTTGTTAGTGATTTAGGATAGTTAAGGTTTGGTTAGGTAGTTAGAGTTTAGGTTATTGTTAGTTAGGATTTTGGGTTTAGCGATTGATTTTGGGTTTAAGTTAGGTAGTTTTGGTTAGGTAGTTAGGGTTTAGGTTACTGTTAGTTAGGATTTTGGGTTTAGGGATTGATTGTCGGTACTTAGTAGTGCGTGATACGACAATTTGGATGACTTGATGAAGTTTCATCAAATGCTTATTTTTCTAGTGAAGTTGTTTAATATGTCTGTTAATGTTACTTTGAATATATACATGTGCTTTCATATTGTATTCGTATTACACAACAAGTAGTTCAAATTTTGCAATGCTACATAATGTTAATTTGAATATTCTAACCCTTTGTTTATCAATTTATAACAGCATGGCCCCTCCCACGCAGCACCCGTTGTACCCCATTCTTGAGGTGGATTACGACGACCAGCACCGAGTACACATCTTGAGTAACAACGAACCAGCGTTCCGGTTTCACGAGTCTAGAGGGCAGGGGCTAGGCATTCTCGAGGCTTTTATGAAAGTAAACATAAATTTGTCCGTTCCGAAAATGTTTCTCCAGTGTATATGTGTTTAGAAAATACACTAACTTTAACGTCTATTTATGCAGAAGGTGAAACAGAGCTGCAGGAAGCTAGCTCAGAAGCTGAGCAGCATGGACACTCCTTATGTGGAACCGCCACTCCCAACGCGGTCGGGTGGCATGTCTTCAGCCCCTTTGAGGACACTAGCCGGCTCTTCTCAGCCGGTGACAGGTGCCACTTTCGTAGTGCGTACACCACCACATCAAAGCGCTGGGAAGGACTCTGTAACTGAGGACGATGAGGACGACGATGACGACGACGACGACTCCCGGGCTTCTGCAGACAGCACGGCCAGTGGGACGATTGGTCGCAGGACGAGATCGGCATGTGTCAGCTAGGTGGTGCCCCGCTCGGTACTCAAGGAGCCTCACAGGTACTAACAAAGGTAGTTTCTTTAAATACGTAGGCTCCATGAACTAACGATCATAAAGATTATAAGTAATCGTGCATATCATATACTTATAGGGTACGAGTCGTACGCACCGGCGACGCGACCACACCGACGTTGGCTACACTCCCAATGTGTTGCCAACAAATCCAAAGAGACAGAGACGTCCGAGGGATCCTTACACTCCTGGGCCTTAGTGTGTTAGGTCGAACGAATATTGGCGTCCGAAACTTGCAAGCTTAGTTGGTTATGTTATGTCGAACTTATGTCAAACCAATGAAAATTTTATGTGGCAGCTTGTCAACTTGTGCAAGGACTGCATTTATTTGCTTCATATTCGTTTCAATGCGTCGCGGCAGCACTGCCCGCGAGATTAAGTAGCAACTAGTTCGGGAACCGGCAGTCCCAACGTATCTCGACGCCGATGGCCGACGTCTTGCGCGAGGGGTCGAGGAAGCCGGGGTCCATGGTCGTGTCGCTGCCGATCCTACAATATGGGGCCAAAAAGCCAAAAAAATAAGTGATTCGTTTTTAGCCCTTATAAAAAGAAAACAGATTCTTGAACCTCTTTCACGCTCATGTCACGTCGAGGTACCGCAGAAAAAAGAACCGCAAAATCCGAGCCATTTTTTCGTAATCGATTAGTTAACATGGTGGTTAACCGTATTATGAAAGACGAAAAAAAATCATTGGCTTATCAAATTCTCTATCGAGCCGTGAAAAAGATCCAACAAAAGACAGAAACAAATCCACTATTGGTTTTACGTCAAGCAATACGTAGAGTAACTCCCACTATCTACGCGGAAAGTTCCGATTAAACCGTCAAGGTACTGCCGCGCCATGCGCCGTGGCGCGTCACTACCGCGCCAAGATCGGTGGCGCGGCAGACCCTGCCACGTCACTGGTCAGCGGCCCCGGTCTTCGCCACATCAGCCTCCTGCCGCGCCACCATGCATGACGCGGCACAGGCGTTTCGCCGCGCCATGGCAATAGACGCAGCTAAAAGTGTTAGTTTTAAAAAAAAAACGGTGTTAAATTTAAAATTAGTTTAGAAAAAGTGTTAAAAAAAATCGACGGACCCAGGTCAGGAATACGATGGCCTTGTCCAGTTTAAGACCCATTCGAGGGTTCTGATCAAACCAGGTAGAGGTAGCAGTTAGCCAGTTACCGTATTGCGCTTGGGCCAAAGAGACGAAAGGGCCTTGCAACTGTGCTGACCTGGGTCCTCCATTGCCAACATTTCATAAAGCGCTTTTGGACGGGCAAAGGCTATCAGAGTTCAACTTCCACCGGTGGGTATTTGGGCCCTTCACCTGCGATCACTTGAACATGCAAAAGGGCCTAAATAGTTTGAGCTGGTTTGACACAGGTTTATGTATTTTTGCTATAAAAAAAAAGCTTCGAGATGTATGTTGAATCTATAGTTTTGTAGACTAAACTAAAGTGATATAAATATGTTTGTTTAATCTAAAATATAAAGAAAATCAGTCATGAAAATGCACTTAACTTGTCTGCATCTCTAGATCTAGAATTTCTTAGAGCTACAGGTGATCAACTCTAGAAAATCCATAGATGTAGAGCTAGAGACATTTGTTGGCAAAAAAAAAGTTGCATTGTTTCCCTTATTCTAAATCTTTATGTTAGGTCACCATAGATCACAGACCATGTTCGAAATTTGATAGGTTGTTTTCTCAAGATCTAAATGATCATGCATTTCCTTCCAAAAGGCACAATGAGGCTATTTCCACATCGATGTGTTCCCATTTATGAGTTGGATGTTCTAAATAAATTTTTTTATGCTAAGAGTAACTGATTGTGACTTGGCTTGCCAGATAGGATATGGAGCTAGTGAGCGGCTGCAAGTTTAGCCTCTACAACAGTGAAGTTGCACCTTCAAATATTCAATGTGTTATTCGATCAAATGGTCGCTAACTTTGAATGTTTGTTACTCCCTCCGTTTCAAATTATAATCCGTTCTAACATTTTTTTCTTACATAGCTTTTACTATATCGAGGCATAATGTATATCTAGTTACACAGCCAAATAAAAGCCATATACCTAGAAAAGATAGAACGAGGGAGTAGCTATATCATGAATTGCATTGCATGGCAGTATTCTGTTTGGATGAAAAAGAGACCTGTTTTTTTTTATAAAAAAAATAATGAGCCTAAATGAGGGGAACAATGTGCTTTAAGAGTTAGTGAAGCGATTCATTTTCATGACTAATGAGATCTCGTGGTTGGTTCTAATTCTTTTTTACATGTTCCTCACTTTTATTTTTTCCGGCTGGCTATCCTATTATTCTCGTTGGCCGTATTTTTCTAGCAAGTCCTGCTTGCTATCTGTGTTTATCAATTTAGCTAGGCTGTTGTAAAACTCTACATTTTAGATGGGTTTTCTATTTTACGTAATGGCTAAATCTCACAATTTAGCATCTAATTTTATCAAGTCTCTTGGAGTTGCTCTAAGTGTCTATGAGCACGGAATCAATAAAAATTGAAACGTGAAAAACATAAACTCTGAAAGCAAGTGGATGAATTTAAAAGAATTAGACCTTCTCACGATAATAATGTTTTAAATTCATGGCACGCTAATGACACTTGATTGAACATATGCTTTTGATGAATTTAAAACAGGTTTTGGCAACATAAGCACAACAATAATGTTCAATCAAGGTTTAGCTGCGACGGCCAAAAAAAAGAAGTTTAGGAAAGAATAACCATGTGGCAGTTTATAATGTGCCATGAAGTTAGACGACTAAAATTAGGCAGAATCAATAAGCCATGGCCACATGTTCTTGTCACTGCTTTGAGATTCCGAAGAGAATATAAACTTAAAAGTTCCAAAAACTTTATTTCCTCAAAGTGGAACAATCCCAAGAATAGGCTAGGAATCTTGCCGAGTTCGATCCTCCGGCAGCTGCCGCTTGACGTGCGTACTTTTAGTGTAGATGACTTCACCTTACTTTTCGACAAAGCAAATGAGTTGAGAATTGAGATTGGTTCATCATGACAAAATTGCTGCGAGATGCTAGAAAATTGTGAGCCGCCGATGCGCAGAACGGTGGAACCCACATCTGTGGGAGTTTTACAATCAAGCAGCTTACTTTTACTACTGGTATAACACCCGTGCTAACATCACGGCTTTATCTTGAA